ATGGTCTCCATGTCCTTTCCGTAGCGGCGCTCGCGGCGCCGGTGCTTCTGCATCAGCGCCAGCAGGAAGCTGCAGCCGGGCTCGCGCCCTCCGTCCTCGTCCCTCTCATCGTCCACCTCCTCCAGCTGGATCTTGAACTGGGGGTTGATCCAGAAGGTGGCTGGGGAAGGGGCGGCAGAGGCTCAGCGGGCACCGGGCYGGGTGGATCGGGGTGCCCGGGGCACCGGCGCGTACCGGGGTAGTTCCTGCAGCCGCCGGCCGTGCTGCCGCGCCGCCAGGTCCCGTCGTAGAGCCGCGTGTTCCACTTGCGGAACTTGCGSGACTGCAGCGCGTCCGGGGTCAGGTTGCAGATCTCCAGGCGGGTGAATTCGCGCAGGAAATCGCGGAAGGACATCCTGAGGGAAGGATTCTGTCTCATTTTGGGGCACGGAAAATGGAAAAAGGGTTTGGGGTGGAGTTTTTCCCTACCAGAACTCGCCGTCCTCCATCCTGACCATGAGCTGCTGGCGCAGSGATGGCTCCACCGCGTGCCACTCGGCCGAGCTGCGGGGACAGCGGGGTCACACCAGCTCCTCACTGCTAACGAACCTCCCGCTCGTTAACAAACGCTAACGAAGCCTCACCCGTCGCTCCAGGCGCCCGTCCACTCCACCTCTCCCCAGGGGTTGCGCATCCGGATCAGCTCCAGGGCCTGCCCGCGGTACGGGATCTGCGCGTGGAGAGGTCAGGGCTGTGCCACCCTGATCCCACTGACCTCACTGTGCCACTCTGACCCCACTGTGCCACTCTGACCCCACTGACCCCGCTGTGCCCCCTGACCCCACTGTGCCACCCTGACTCCATGGTGCCACCCCAACCCCGCTGTACCACCCTGGCCACCCTGACCCCACTGACCCCACTGACCCCACTGTGCCACCCCAACCCACTGTGCCACTCTGACCCCGCTGTGCCACCCTGACCCGGCTATGCCTCACTGACCCCACTGTGCCATCCTGACCTTGCTGTGCCCCACTGACCCCACTGACCCCATGGTGCCACCCCAACTCCGCTGTGCCTCACTGACCCCACTGTGCCATCCTGACCTTGCTGTGCCCCACTGACCCCACTGACCCCACTGTGCCACCCCAACCCCACTGTGCCACTCTGACCCCACTGTGCCCCACTGACCCTGCTGTGCCACTCTGACCCCACCGTGCCCACTGACCCTGCTGTGCCACCCTGACCCCACTGACCCCACTGTGCCCACTGACCCCGCTGTGCCATCCTGACCTTGCTGTGCTACCCTGACCCCACTGTGCCACTCTGACCTTGCTGTGCCACCCTGACCCCTCTGAGCCACTCTGACCCTGCTGTGCCACTCTGACCCCGCTGTGCCACCCTGACCCTGCTGTGCCACCCTGACCCCACTGACCCTGCTGTGCCACCCTGACCCCTCTGTGCCCCACTGACCCCATGGTGCCACCCCAACCCTGCCATGCCCCGCTGACCCCACTGTGCCCCGCTGTGCCCCACTGTGCCCCCCACCCTGGCACTGTCCCCACCTGCTTGGCGCCTGTCACCGAGTAGGCGTGGCCCTTCACCAACTTCTTGAAGGTCACGGCCTCCATGTCGAAGGCGCTGGTTATCTGCGAGGAACCACCGCCGCGTTACCATGGAAACCACCCCGATCCCRCCCTTTTTTCCCCCAAAATGTCCTTTGTGGGCTCACATCGATGGAGCAGCCGAGCAG